CTTGGCCTCGAGTGGCAAATATGGATAAGAAGAAACTAAAAAGAACTCATATCATAATACAAGGTCATATGTGATAGTAGTGGATTCATATGATGAGCCCCACACATCACAGAATGGGAAGTGGTTTTCCCAGGTGGGAGAGGACAGCACAGTGAGACTTCCTGGGAGGAGCGGGTGCCTGACCAGGGTTCCACAGATGAATAGGTTTCCAGACAGAAAAGGAGAGAATTGCATTCCAGGTGCCATCAGGTGCATAGGCGGGAAATGTGTGCAGCTGAGATGCATTTGAAAAACTATTAGTTATTCAGGGTCCTTGCTAAAATGTAAAGGGAAAAGGGAGCCGTGGAGGTGACAGGACAGGAGAAGTAGCAGGGATCAGCTGCTGGATGCCTTTGCCTGGACCAGCAGTGGAGCTTAAGTGGAATGCCAAACAAGCTCCTGCTAGGTAGTGAGCCACCCCAAATCTCAGTGACTTCAAATAGCCATCGACACTTATGGCTGCACACAGCATATCTGGGCTGGGATTGGCGGCTTGGGCTGGACTTTGCTGAGGTGGTTTGCTTTTCTCTCCTCCTCAGGTGACTGCCAGGCAACCTGGACATGGTTTCCCATAGCAATGGCAGAGGCACAAAGATACAAAAGGGATCATGCAGGGTGCCTGGAGGCCTGGGCTCAACATCACTGCCACCTTGTTCTCTTGGTCAAGGGAAGTCACGTGGCCTAGTTCAGATTCAAGGAGAAGGAAACTCACAAGAGCACTTGCAAAGCCAGGTGACAAAGAGAATAGTGAGTCAGTTCTCTACTGCTTTCTAGTAGGAGAATCGTGATCAGAGTGGTTAGTTCCTCTGCAGAAGGCAGATTAGAAGGAACAAGACCATTTCAGAAATCCAAGCAGGAGCTGAAGGAACGCCCGGGACCTTACACACCACACTTCTCTCGAGTGCACGTACAGGGTTCAGCCAGAGCGGCCAAAGGCAGGGCTTATCTTTAGCCTTTTAGTTCGATTCCAAGAGCTTAGGCTGAGCACATCAGAGCTTGCAGGGGTGAATAAGGAGCTTTGAAATAAGCAGATAAAGGCTAATATTCAATAAACTAGTGAACAAGAGTTTTCTTTAACTCCTTGCAAAAAGACATCTCTGAGACAAAAAGCAGACCCGGGCAGCAATATTGGATAAGCCCCACTGATCACCAGAAAACCTAACGTAGGTAATTGACTATTGGCAAATGCAACAGAACCAAATAAAGCAAGTAATTAACAATTATTGTGTTTGCAGGTAACGGAACTCAAAATCCAGGCTGCCTCGGCATTTTGTCCCAGGCATCAATAAGAACAAAGTGTTTGTTAGTGGGTGAGCAACCCAGGTGTGAAATTCATTGTATTAGACTTGATCTAAGAATAGGCTTGAAGCCGGGAGTGAAGAAGAGAATCCCTCTCCGGTTCCTCACTGGACACTCAGAGGTCAATTCGAGTGTGTTTGCACAGAAGGGATTGCTGAAGTTTGGTTGCAGACCATGACCATGGTTGTTCCCTTCCCGTATGTGTCTGTAGCGCTACCGACCAAGATGGAGTCCACCCACTCCACCCCACGAGTCTGCGACTGGCTTTGGCTAGTGACACTGTGCTAGTTCCAAAATAGAGCCTCAAGAGGACTTATACGCTGCCACTTGCTTTCTGGAGACCCTGGTCTCCACGTGTGAATACGCCCGGCCATGCTGCCCAGAAGGTGAGATTGAATGAGTCAGCCCAGTTGTGACAGCCCAAGCCCTGGACATGTGAGACAGCTCAGCCAAGATCAGCAAAGTTGTCCTGCAGGCTACCCACAGTGAGCCACAGAAGGCAAGAAGAACCCCAGCTGACCCAGAGCACCTGCCAGGGGAGCCCATTCCAAATAGCCAACTCACGGAATCTCCAAGTAAATAATGGCATTTATTTTATGACTGGATCAAAATATAAAAACACTGGAATTTGGATAAAATAATAATTACAGTTACTAATTACTGGGCGCCTACTGTATAGCAGGAACTTCAATGTATCTGAAATGTTGCAAGATCCTTAGCCTTTATCTTTGAAACCCTGCAAGGTGGAGTTATTCTCACCATTTTGCAGAAGAGTAGATGGAGAAACTGAGGCTGGGGACCCAGCTTAAGCAACCCAAGGTCACACAGCTATTGTATAAAATTTCACACAAACATACTCTTTGAGGGGGAGGCAGGTCTCAGAAGCTAAGAGAAGCCTGGGCCACTTCCAATTTTTGAGGTGCTTTGAATACTAATAAATGAAGCTATGAAGAAACAATTACCAAAATTGTCATATATTTTAAGCCTTTACATTGATCAAATTATCACTTTTAATACCCATAAAAAAGACAATGTGATATAATTGCTAACAAAAAATAATTTTCACATTTATTTCTGAAGGATATTAATGTAAAGTATACCATATGTGGTATGGCTTAGTAATAAAAGGATGCCAGGGTTACTTTGGTGAACTTTGATCCAGTCAGTGCATCTCTGAATTGCAGTGTATAACCTCGCTTCGAGGTAGTATCAAAATATCCAATATGAGGCCTTTCCGGAGGACAGGACCAGCTGCAGGGCCTCTTGGCCACCCCTGCCCCTAGCTCACTCCCACAAGAGACATGTGGATGGGCTGGGTGCAGTGGCACACGCCAGTAATCCCAGCGTCTCAGGAAGCTGAGGCAGGAGGATCACGAGTTCAAAGCAACTTAGCGAGGCACTTAGCAACTCAGTGAGACCCTGTCTCTAAATAAAATACAGGAAAGGGCTGGGGATGTGACTCAGTGGTTAAGTGCCC